TATATATATATTATTATATATATATATATATATTTATTATTATATTATATATTTATATATATATATATTTATATATATATAAATATCAACTCACGATAATTTCAACCTAGGGCCCAGTGGAGACGGTATCATTCTCTATGATCTTATTGCGTGTCCGGATCTCTTAGAGGAAGACACATCGCTGAGAAGACTATTGGCAAGTGACACCGGTACGCTCGATGTGTGTATATTATGTCGTGCGTCAAGGCCTTGGATTCAAGTCTTAAATCTATTAAACACCTTCAATCTTTTAAATTCGTTAAACACCTTCGGTCTGTTAAATCCATTACACACCTTCAATATGTTTAATTCTTACAAATAATTCATGACTATACCATGTTTCTGGCAATGGGCAGTGATAAAGATCATCCACGACATGCGCCAAGACGATGACGTGATACAAGGACAGTTCGACTTTGCCCTGAAAGGTCTGTACGATACACAAACTGCCGACATGGTGATAAGAGAGGCCTATCTGTGCAGAAATAGTCTCAATGCCACACTGGAGTACTGGGTGGGTGTGCAGAATACTAACAAAGCCTTTGTGGTGAAGAACGACAAGGTAGGCGAACGTGGTCCAGCCTACTGCTAGTTGTTTATCGTACAGTTTTGATTAGAAAGACCAAGGTAGTATCTATACAGTACTTAGATCTGCATGGTTCTTATGGAAGCTGTACGTATATATATATGTGTGTGTGTATGTGTGTGTGTGTGTGTGTGTGTGTGTGTGTGTGTTTGTGTGTGTGTGTGTATACCATTTTTCTGATTTAAATCTGCGTATTCCTTGAACACTGTTTGTGTGTGTATGTATTCCGTATTCTTGAGAGAAACGTCTGATTAGCTGGGAGTCTGTCGATCTCTTTACGACACTGACTTCTGTTTATATTATGTAGGGAATACGTGTGCAATAACCTGTATATGTAATTTCACCATAGTAAATCCAGTATAAGAAATGTTTCTGTATAGAAGTCGTTCCATTGCTACTATAGACTACTGGTTGAGCGTATAATCGACTAGTTAGTAAAAGTTCATACTAATACTTCTGGTCATATCTTGTTTTTGCCGCATCAAACCTATTCATCCTAAGCTCCCCGTACGTGCTAGCGTCGAGTTGACACTTAGGCATGTGATACATACGTAGCGAGTATGCGAAATAAATCGCAATTAATATCTCAAGACAATGCTGTGGTGCGAGTGCAAGATAGCATTGTGTGTGCACCGAAGAAGTCGTCTGCAGCGGATCACATGGTGGGATCTACTTCTCTCTGTGGGTTTTACAACAATATATGTATTGTTTATTCGCTTATGGTCTCTGGCACCAGACTTTAGTATACTAACCTGGCAAACAGATAGATAGAGATTTGTGGTCTTGACCAAGCTTCAGTATAGTAGTAGATAGTTGGAATTGTTATCATGCATCTCATAAAGTACTGAGACCCGAGCTATAGGGATGTTCACGTACTGATTCAATTAGAAGACCGTAAACCAACTTGAAATAGGTGAACCGATGCGAAGAAAGTGCACAAAAGCTTCAGGAGGAAGTGTTCAATCCCCTATGCACATATTTTTAGGTTTTTATCCCGCTCATAATAGTCAGTCGCACACTCGAATATGATGCAGGCAATGATTCCGGCTCCAGTTTCACAAGCTGTATATCTCTTCTGATGGAAAGGCTTGTGAAATCACGAGAGGATAGAGTTCGATCACTTACTTTGCGCCCTGTAGGTGGTCGAAAGTTCATCAGACTTTAAAAAACTTACACAATCCACGAAGCTTGGTGCAGACTTTTGCCCCAATATATGAACGCGGAGTTTTGGCATATGTTTGCATATTCTGCAATGATACGTGCAGCTCAAGTTGTGTATTGAAAATATATAATATTCAGCTTTAAAGCGTTCAAACATCAATAATTTCCACCCAAGCTCAATGTACACTTTCGCTAATACTTTCGCTACCTCCCTACTGAAACAAGTGGATACCCAAACATCTTGCCCCTACAGTACATAAAGAAAGGTGTATTTTCACCGACATGTGCATTAACACATGTCCATCCTGTGCGAACCCTACAGATGCATGTATTTACACGTATCTGCACAATCGGGTGACGCTTTCTCTAACATATATGTACCTTCACCCAATGCGCGTATATGCACGTCCCCTGCATCTTATAGTAGTTTTCTGGTCATTTATGATTATGTACTGTCCCTTTGCCAACTATGTAGGTCTGGAACCAACGACCAATACCCCAGCACATGCGCGAGTATGCTGTGATGGATGTGATGTATCTCAAACAACTATATCACGCACAGCGAACAAAGGCTCAGTCGTTAGAAGACCGGTACTACTATGATGAGAACGGGAATATTGTACGCGTGAATGTATGGCAGCGATGTTGTCGTAGCCACCACGGAGGGAGTAGGAATGTAAAGGTGAGTAGTATATATGTCATTTAAAGCGATGTAGATTTTGCACATAGCTAAGTAATTGTGGAATTGTTTCATGTGATTTGTGATGAAGAAAATTTCAAAGGTATTTAGAGTAGATGTTGAATCAGGTTTAGAACTTGATGGCTTAGAAGTCAGCAGCAGATGATGAAGTTGATTGTATTTGTGAGACTCGCGCAATCGAGATTAATTACTGGACGATTGATATATATGCTAACCGATCAGATCCTAGTATAAATTGTGGGTTTTTGCATGGCATTCCACATTCTGCTTAGACCGAAGACGTGCCCATCTTTCGTATGTTTTCCATCTGAAGTGTGGCGAATATCGTCCACTCATACTCCCTTTTTACAAACACATCCCTGTTATGGCTTGTCTTTTTGTTCTAGCTGCACTTTGTGACCCGGTATAGCATATCATGAAATACATTGCTTTCTACTTATGTTTTCGTGATACCTTCTGCCTGCTCGCAACAATATTTCTGCGAGATCGTTAGTATAGATCATTTATTAATTTAATCCATCATAGTTTTGCATTATTTTAACTGCTTTTGATTGCTTATTTCGTAATTCCCTTGATGGTCTACAATTTCTTGATTTTCTATAATTCGTACACAATCACTCAGGCGGTCATGACAGAGTTCTATATCTTCCTGAGAAACGCAGATCAGGCAACCCGTGCTAGATTTGAGAGCAAGTTGGCATTTTCAGCTCACTTTCAAGATTGGCGTGACCGACGGGATGTTGGTATGAATGTGCTAAGAGTGGGGGCAGCTCGAGGATTAAAGTGGTTAGTGGATGAAAGGCTTGCCACCTTAAATGAGGGGAAGATTGTGTATGTTTGATGGTCGACAGAGGCGTGATGTCAGATTTTTAGTTAGTCTATTGAACTGTATAGTTATGATGTTTACTGCTGTAGAAGCGGCCCCTACTTCCAATGATCTATACAAAACTCAAATTGTCATACCAATATGTGACGTCTTCTCGTGGGACTACTAGACAGTGCACATCGCACATTTGATACAGCGTACATACACAACCCCACCTTACACGCAGACGTACACTCAACAATGCCTATAAACAAATCGTCAAGTGTTCATACTCTTTTTCTCACGCCCGAGTGTGATCTCGAATTTGTGGACAATGGCAAACAACAAGCGAAACTGTACAGTATACTGTAACGGATATCTGGATCAGCTCCGCCATAAGTCGTATGGCCATCTCTACATTCCTCAGGCGGGCAACTGGAGTGGGTAGGCCATTCATACACCTGGTCAGAATTGACGCCAATATTGAGGATGGGCAAGTATCCATATTAGGAATCCTTTATAAAATAGACAATCAAGTCCACACGTCGAGATTATAGAACACCTGAATACAGCCAATTAACCGCGTGGTACTGTCGGGACAATAGATCAGGCCATAAATCGTGAAAAGTTCTGATTCAAATTTACACGGACTAGTTGCAAAATAGAATACTGGTCTAGTTTGTGGCAACAATGCGTGACCATGGTGGGGGCTATCATTCCTAGATGAGGGGGAATCCACGAGAGTTGGGAGTTGTTAAGGCGGCCAGTTAGGCATGCAAAATTTGTTCGAAGCAGCTGGTATGAGATGGCGACCGCGGGATCTATACCAGCTTATACGAATTCTGTCTAATTAAATATTTCTGTAAAATTGAAGTACAGCTTGTACATGTTTCAAATAAGAGGTATGACTATCTGCGTTTTGGAAGGATATGGTTGTATACAAATTAAAAAAATGGCGTAGTGTAGCGCTTCCGTGGATAAATCTTAAGTACGTGATATTCATTCTGACTACAATGTAGAATCACTTTTTGAACCCTAAATTATACATGATTGTAAATATTTCACTGTAATTATTCTTGTGCATTTATTGCCTGAACCCATATTGAATGTCCAAAACATTAAATTATAGATTGTGTGGGAAGATCAGAAAGCATTTCTTCAGCCCTGGAATATATCAAATACATTTATTGCCGTCGATGGAATTGATTGCTATGTACCGGAGCTGCATTTTGAGTCTTAAGTTCTGGCACGCAACATTTAAATACGAGCATGTCATGTCAATAGAAGGTGGTGATATGGAGGTATCGCGGACATTAACCTATCTCGCAAGCGTTTTCTAGAGATATTGGATGCAGGAGAAATATTTGTTGCAGACAAAGGCTACAATGATGCGTTGTACATTTTATCAACGCGCTATGTGATGTTTCCGATCTGACGCAGATCGACGAGATTACAAAGAGATGGCGGACGTGTCATGAAACGGTGGATGTCTACCTTCATCAATTCCCCGTGTTACGGAGTTTCCAAAACTTTAAAGCATGGAATATGCTTCATATCAGTGGCTTAAATAGTGCAGCTGGCCATCCGAAACAGCCAGCCATGTGTTTGGTGTCATTTGGTATGAACTATTTCACCAGCAACAAATCATCAATCGATAAAAAAGTCCGTTTAGTTCCTTATTAAGCGTCGCAACTCAGCTTCTATATAGTTCACGTATAAAACGCTAGAAGTGCATTCTGAATATGTTGAGTCCAGCTTTCGCCATAACTTCATCATAGTTGAACTTTTCACCACACTGACTAGAATCGACCAATTGTATTTGCTATGTAGTATTTATTTCATACACGGGTCCATTGCGGTAACCTAGCGAGAGAGAAGAAATAGAAAGCTAACCACGGCTTGCATTTGTATGCTGTATTGTAAAAACTGGTTGATATTTTAATACAACACTTTTGATTGCATGATTGCTCAGATTGGTTCGGTCCCCGCGACAAATTCAATTCACTTTTACGTATATGTAATCGATACATTTGACCCTCGTTGCTATCCATGGATATTTATTTGCGTTTGATGTATATTTTTGCCGATATCAGTTTCGGCCGATCCTCACGAAATGATCAGTCAACTTTTCACACTACAATATATGTGTAACGTTATAAATAAGCCTTGCAGTCATGGCGAATATGCCTTTCAAGTTTTACGGATATTATAAATGTTGAGTTTATATTTTATTTGTGCTCGTTCTATATATTTAAGGCCTTTTTTGTACTCTACAATTGAACGTGTATTTCTAAACGTTCTAGATATCTTCAAACATGTCCCTGGTAGTGTGGTGATAAACCGCGTAATATGTACTCCAATATTCTGTTTATAGTTATGCCAGCCCGAGAGCAAATCAGGCTTGTTCTCGAATTGTTCTACCATAAAGGCGCCACCGATTTAGGGTTTAGTAACATCAAAAAGCGTTATGTTTACTTTTAGAATTACATCATTTCTCAAAAGTGTTCTGCATAAGGTTTCCCATACTGATCATATGATTTTTACCCTGGCCAAACCAAATGATTGGACACTAGTTCCATAGCCTCTCACCTTACACTCATAGCACAAACACACACATATACATTAAGAGTTAGTCTGGCGCTAAAAAACGTTGCAGATGGTTTAACGAACCACCAATGAACAAAAGTGATTCTAAGGATTCAGCGGATGCAAGCGATAAAATCCCCAGTAAGTACATATATATTACTCCGGAAATCACTCGCGAAGAAAAACATAACAGTTGCAGGTGTATTTTTCTCTTCATCTCGGAATTAAAAATATTCAACGAGTCGAACACGGGCACGACATTTCAGACTGTACATAGCGGCATTGATGCCATTCATCCTTCCTTCTTCCTCATATCGGTTGAGAATCTATTCAATTGCAAGAGAAATTACTAGACGACAAGTGTAAGGATACTTTCAAGAGCGATGCATGTCGAGATATCACCTTCGTAAAGAATACATCTTCCCATGACATAGTTATCTTATTAGAGAAGCATGACAATCACAAATAGAAACATTTTGAACAGGTACAGCTATTGGAGATTAAAATAAGGCATTGTTCAATTTTGTTTTTACGCCTTAACACTTTCGAGTGACGCTGTTCAAGAATACTTTACGTCGCGGGGTGCACATGTCGCGCATTGCTTTACGAGAGATCCAAGTATAAATATTCATGTATCTTTTGGGCATGTCTCACGAAACATACATTACGTATGTAAAGTACATTATTGGGTATGAGTGCATTTGCTTTTTTATCGAGATAGTTCAATAATGGATGCAAAAGATTCCAAAAAAAAATATATATATATACTTGTTAACCCTTCTTCTAAAAAAGACCTATTTCACGATTTCAGATAAAAAGAGCTTCCTAAAGTAGCTCAGAGTATTTGAATACAAGCAAAACAGTGCATAAATACGAACATCCGGAACAATTCGTATCAGTTCAACTATGATTCCATAAAATATACGTGTACCTATTGAATAGGTATTCGGACTATCTTCGGAATGGTTCCACCTGCGTTCACAACCCATTCCATTCGACATGAAAACACTGACTACATGATATTCAAGTAGCCATCTCTAGCATAAATGAAGTCCACGGGTAGGTGGTTTCGGGGTGTTATGTAAAGTGGTATTGTCCATGAGCAGTGACCTATGACGACATCAATACATCATATCAAAATGAAAGTGACTTAAGACATCGTGTAGGCTGTGATGCGAAAGAACCCCCCTTTTTTCGGGCCTAAAATTAGAATTTTTCACAACTTCAGTACAGCTATAACAACCAAGGATACAGTTTGGCCCCAGAATAAGTTCTCGTTTCTACACTACATAAGATTGGTGCAAGTAGTGCGATCTGTCTATAAAGCTGTAGTAAGTTAGGTGAATGACTAGACCAACCAACCTAGTACTCGAATCTTGTCTCGGGTAAACTTTTGTGATGGGAGTCAATTAAAATGGTACGGGTTTTAGGAAGGTTCCGAGAAATCTGCCCAGGAGTGTTGATCCCAGCGTGAAAGGTTTAATGAAATCCACACGGGAGCAGATTGTGCGGACTGAGATCGAGGTACTAAGGTAGTAAGCCGGGCCTCCACATTAGACTCTATGTTATAAACGTACTCTTAAGCAGCACGTAAATTATAAACGTACTCTTAATAGTACGAGGAACTTAAGTTCCCTAAATGTACTCTTAATAGTACGAGGAACTTAAGCTTCCTAAATGTACTCTTAATAGTGCGAGGAACTTAAGTTTCCTAAATGTACTCTTAATAGCACGAGGTTTATACCTTTTTTATTTTACATATCAGATATTTGGACGAGGCCATTAAAAGGCCTCAGTAAAATACCAAACATAAAGAGTTGGTCTAGTTCTATTAATAGAACTTTATTTACTTTCCAATATTTATATATGAATACTTCGGTAGCGAGATGGCTCAACTGAACATAGGTTTCTAGGGACTTTTAACGTTACCTAGTTGATCCTCCGATCAGCCAACCAGATGTGCCAGTCTGATGAAGACTAAGTCGATAATTCTTGATAAGTGACATGCTATTGGTTAAGACAATAACTAAGGACATCAAGAGTATTTTTCTTTTTTCTTTCTTTTTTCTAAAGTTAGGATTTTATGAGTCTCTTGGATTCGCCCCAGTGAAACATACCATAGTGTCTAACAGAGCGACAACGAAACACTAAATAAAATCTCTTCGGCGGAAACAGTACTGAGAGGATTATATATATGCAATGTCTCAGCCCCACAATCCCTCAGAGTAATGCTGATTTCACGAGGCATACATAACTTTACTAAATGTCTTATTTCGTTTATTTACTTTGATATTTACACGATACTTAGAATTTACCTACGCGTTTATTTATTCTAAGGCGTTAATATCGCCTTGAGAGACCGAATCTTACGTAACCGACTCCCGAGAGTTGATTTTAAAGTTTGCTAACCGCAACAATTGAAAAATAACTGCGTCCATATGCGAGTCACGGCGTGTGCAGAGAGGCATCATGTGATCAGCGTGAGATCGTGTCACAGAGAAGATGTTAAAGTATTCTGCAGAAGGTTTCTCATACTGACAATATGAGTTTTTACCCTGGCCAGCCCACGCAGCTAAACACTAGCACAAACTTCTTATGTGTAAAGCCAAAGGTGAGATCAGAAATAAATATATACATTTCCACTTTATTTAAAGTACACTACATTGCACTCTGACATATGGTGTTGGTACTCTGAAGCTAACTTATAACAATTTGATGCTTTCAAGTATATAACATTGTGAATGAGCAGCGGAAAAGAAATTGAGAGAGTTGCTGTAGTGCAGAGAAAATACCACAATGCTTCGTCGCACCCAAGGAAGCGGAGTAACTATCACGAGCACCACTACTTCAACGGCAGAGACCTTACATTACATGTCGGCATGAGATAGTGACTTCAAACATTTTCTTAGGTTGCGACTTCATTATACCGAATGCTTTTCGGTCTCTTGATACCCGACACAGACCCAATGATCGTCTAGAGTCGCGAACATATTTTTTTTTGCACGAAACGATATATAATTATATATCTATATATATAAGCGTAATCTTAAGAAGTAAGTAAATTACATCTACTTAAACGGTTTTAATGCTTTTATTCATTAAAAACCTTTCCCATTTTATGTTGGAGTGTATTGTGGTAGACTGTAAATAAAATACACATGTATATGTTTATTTTTGACATCACATTTGATTTTATAATTAACTCAACTGTCGGGAGTAAGTTAAGCAACTTGCTTAGCTCTCGGAAGTGAGCTAACTCTGATGATTTTTATAAACCAAGGAGGGTTTCTTGCTGTAAAATTTGGTCTGAGACCTGTAGTCTCTCATACACTCCTTCCGAGCATTCTTTCAACAAGTAATGGAAGAAATGTTTGCAAACATGCCTAATGTGGAAGTCTACCAAGATGACATAATTATCTTCTCAAACACCAAAGGCGAACACGCCGCATTAGTAAGAATAATCTTTCAGCGACTCAACGAATAAAACTTCAAGATATACGAGAAGAAATGTCACTTCTCAACGAGCGGAATACAACTTTTAGGATAACTAAGTAGATGGCATGACACACTATCTAGGCTTCACTTTGATATAAAACATCTACCGGGAATACACAACCATTTACCGGATATTTCATCTAGATTGGTTTTCATTTTTGGGCCGAATTTGGAAATTGGAGAATAAGGACCGAAGTTTGAGAAATTCGAGGGATCTTATATTACAAGCGGCTGAATGTGCTCTTCAAGGATTGCCTCGACTAACAGGGGATTGACGTTGATCGTAGGACGGCGCTCGTTCTCAGCGAAAAGGAAGCGTGATAATCTTGGTAGGACCAGGTACCCCGTTATCAGTGCGACTTTGTCGTACAGTACTAGGCTTGCAAGGACTTGGGCTCGAAAGACCTGCGGACACGCTAACGTGGGATTTATCCCAGTGGATCGAACAGCGTTTGGAGCGGGTCATCAAGTCACTTTGTGGGAAAAGTAAGGGCGTTATTTTTTGAAGCCCAGGGTTGCTTGCAACTCCACTTTTTAACCTTCGCAAACGTTAGGGCTTCTTGAGTTAGTATCGTCTCGGATACGTTGGGGTACGCTCAAGCAGCCACAGCTGAGAATCACTAAAGAGAGCAAAACCAAAGATACGTCGGGCCAGGGGCACAGTACGGCGAACTAACCGGCCCAATCGGCTGAGCAGGTGTGGGCCCATGACATGAAGTCCGAGTTGGTACAAATTGAGGAAAATTTGGCTGGGCTGGTTCAATATCAACCACAAGTTGCTAATTTGCAGCAACAGGTGGAGGGTGCCAACAAAATACAATATCAGCAACATATTGCTGAGCTACAGCAACGAATACAACAACTGTTGGGCCGACCAAATTGAGCTGCAGTCGGAGAGGCCAACATTGAAGCTCAATACACTCGATGTTTATGGGAGCAGGGCAGATGTATCTGCAGTGCGTGAATGGGTTTGTTGCATGGAGTAAATGTTTGCCGCGAAAGGAGTAAATCTTGGGCACGCGGTGCCAGAGCAAGTAAAGCTTCAATATGCGAGCACTTTCTTGAGTGGTCGTGCTCTGGCGTGGTTTATGAAGAATCAAGGCAACATAGCGCAGTGGGCCGATCTCAGCCAGCAGATACAAGACATGCTCTTACCGCCGAACTGGCAGACGGAGAGAAAGGTTGATGGCGATTAAGGAGACCGGCGCTGTGCGAGCTTATGCCGAAAAGTTTTAAGAGCTGTTGCTTCATGTACCGTACTTGCAAGAAAGTGAAGCTGTTGTCATATACATTAAAGGACTTGACGATCAATTGAAGATGGAGGTCCGCTTGAAGTTGGCTAATGAAGACAACTTAGTAGAAGCAATGAAACTTGCAAACATAGCAGGTTCAATCATTCAAAAAGTCACGTGGTGCACGTGACAAGGCGGAGGGCTCGAGTCAGGGCAGAGATGGAAATGGCAACAAAGGCAAGTGCAACAAGTGTGGAAAGGCTGGCCATTTTGCTAAGACTGTTCATTTGACGGTGATTGCCGAAAGTGTGGCAAGAAAGGCCACATGGCGACCATATGCAAGCAGGTATGACGGGACGGGTCGATCGTACGACGGCTAGGAGATAGCAAAAGAATATGGCGAGAAGGGTTGCTAATTGACGGTCGTACAGTGTCGGCCGTACTGGAGAGTGGGGCTGAGGTGAAAATATTGCCAAATGGCTGGGCTGATCCAAACACGAAGCAAGACCAGGATATATCGGCAACCAAGGGATGCTGGCTTGATGGGTTTGGTGGGCGTACATGATCGTATGGATGAGTTAAGCTCACGGTTGGGTTTGCTGGCAACGAGAGTCAGCAGACATTCCATAGGGTCGACGCCACTTGGGTGGTCATGTATACGAGATTATGTACTTGGGTCGTCGCTGACAGTCAGGACAAGAACAGACCAACTATTGAAATTCAAGGAAGACTTGGCTGGCTTGGGGACCATCGGAGTCGCCCAGGAACGAATTGCTTCCTGCGGAGGAATGGATGACTGCGGCAATTCAAGATTTGCTGCAGGAGGTTGCTTGGGTAGATCGCGAACAATCTACTATCACGGGGGCTATATCACGGGGGTTAGATGCTGCTAGCCCGGTCAAAAATAATCTTCAGAAAAGAGAGGCTATCAGGGCTGATGTTCATCGTATGCTTAAGGAACACGTCATTGAGGAGTGTGTCTGGAAGACGGATTAAAACCTGCACCACTGGTAGTTTTTAAGAAGGAACACGGCACACGGCGTTTCCGTGTAAATTGGGTGCCGTTGAATCGGCAAGTAAAGTTTCGGTTGTTCCCAGTGCCGAAAGAAGAGAACTGTTGATGCGGAGTGCATCAAAGTATAAGTACTTCTCTAAGTTGGATATGGCACGTGGTTATTAGCAGGTGGAACTTGCACATGAGTCCAGTGTTAGAGTGCAATGTAGTAGACTTTAAATACAGTGCAAATGTATGTATTTATTTCTGACCTCACCTTTGGTTTTATAGGTGTTTGTGCTAGTGTTCAGCCGCTTGGGCTGGCCAGGGTAAAAACTCATATGGTCAGTATAAGAAACCTTATGCAGAACACTTTAACACTTCGACGCTATTCTATCTCAACTTGCCTGCAACCAAATCTCACGCTGATCACGCTGATCACATGATGCCTTTCCGCATACAACCTCAAGCTATTTTTAGAATGTTGCGATTGACAGACTTAGTCCACTCTCGGGAATCGGTTGAGTATTAACTCAATCATTGAGAGTGATTTAAGCAACTTGATTAGCTCTCGGGAGTGAGCTAACTCTGCTGACTTCCATAAATCAAAGAGGACTTCTTGCTGTAAAATCTAGCCTGAGACCTGTAGTCTCTCATCCATGAAGTATACGACGTTTACTTTTGAAGGGAAGCGATATCGATACTTGAAGATTTACGTTTCAATCCATGATGGAAGATATTCTGGAAGATCTTTGTGAAGGGGTCTTCATATACATTGATGATGTCATCCTGAGATCTATGACCGAGGAAGGGCATGGTACTATACTTACTGGAGAAAGTACTAAGCAGACTGAAAGAAAGAAATGTCAGGGTTCGTCTGGAGAAGTACTAATTTATGAAGATGAAGGTAGAGCTCTTTGGGCGAGTTATTGGAAATGGCGACCTCGTCAATTAAGGACGAGGCCGCACAGGCTCTGCGGACATCTCGAATGCTCGAGAGCAAAGAAGAGCTACGTAGTCTGTATGCCACAGCAAATTGGTGGCATAGGTACGTACTGGACTTCTCCCTAGTTTTAGAGCCGTTGCCTTAGCTCGTGGATTGCTTGCTACTGTAGAAGAATCCCGGGACCTCATGCAGCGAGTTTACGTGGATGTATTGTATATCTTGCGCATTCAAGAACATGGCACTCGAATGATCGTTGTGCTAGCTCAAGGTGAGTTTACAAAGTGAATTTGGGGTCATGAGCTGTCAAGCAGGGTATCTTTGATTATTTTGAGGGTAGTCATTGTATGATATGTTGCTACTTTTTGGTATACTCGATGTCAAAAGTTAGGTTGACTCAGGCAAGGAGTTCGACAACAGCAATTGTGTTGAATTTTGGCTCGATATACAGGGGGTATATGTCCATGTCACCGCAGTTGAGCGCCACGAGGTCAATGGTCAGATTGAGAGGGCCAACCGTACTATGAAGGATTAGTTGAAAAAAAGTCTGGCTTCTGGTACGGCGAAGGATGTATGAGAGATGATACTCGCATGTAAACGAACTGTTCATGCGGGATCGGAAACGTCTACCGATTGAGCTAGTGATGCGAGGTTAAGATGGGACTTCATGAAAAATAATAGATTTGGCCCGCAAGAATTTGCTGAAGGCACAAGCAAAACGTATTGCAAATGCCAAAGCTGCTGCAACCGAGCTTGAGCCGCTCGAGGTTGATAATATTGTGTGGAAGTGTCGAGACTCTATACAACAAAATGATCAGACTGCGTGGGTCGAGAAAGACTTGTTCGTCGTTCGTGGTCCGTATGATGGTGTTCGTTAGTATGGGTACGAGGTAGCCGCACTATGAGAGCTCATCGTGAACAGCTCAAGCTAGTCGTCGGCAGCCAAGAAGACAGTTCGGACCCAGTGCAAGTACTAGTTACCTTGAAGAAGTACTTGCACACATTTGAATGGTTCCAGGCCATTGCTCAGCGGTTCGAGCGATATATTCGAGCGAAGTCTGGGGAAATGTGGTTTAAGTATTCGTCGCATTTCTTGACCACTCTGCAAAAGTATCGCCCAGAGACTTGGAAGGATTTGGACCCAGAGAATGTTAAAGAGGACTTCATGAAAAAAAAACTCCAAAGTCCTGGGATCAGTTTAAGTCATACATCAGGAGCATCCGTCAGTTCGTCAATGATGAGAATAATGAACGCCAGAAGCGCTTAGCACCGGCATATCCTTAGGCTGGTGGGCGCCAACGAATTTTCGAGACTCTTCGGTACATACCCTGAATTTAGGCAGATCTTGAATGGTGAGTCATGATTCCGGAAATTTATATTGGGTTTTTATTTCAGAGCCCAAGCACCCTCCCTGAGTGCGTGGGACCGTGAGTGTGTTCGTCTGATGTTGTATACGACAGGTTGGACGATCAGAGGGGTAGGATAGTGTACACCAATTATCTTGTAGGCGGTTCTTCGAGACAATTTACTGGCCAAGGGTGGAACTGGGATATGTGAGACCGAGGCCGGGAAGAGTACCGCGCTCACGGACATGAATAGTGGTGTTTTCAGCTAAGATTAATGGAAAAGTTTTCGTTTTAAGGCAAGTGAGAAGATGTCGAGATTTCGTGTGTAAACAGTCGACTGTAGCACCACCGTCTATAAGAAAATCAGTACAAGATAGCTTCTTGGATTTGTTCGTGGGTATGGTTATTCAAGCAATGGAGGCGAAATAGATAGATCCAGAATTATTGACAATCCGTTTGGAACAAGCTTTCGTAACATACCCTTTTATAGAGCAGTTCTTGCAGGTGAGAGGACTAGCATCACAGTCAGCATTGCGGTGATCCTTGGAGTCGCAACGTTTACATCCAGCTGGTCAAGAGCTAGCACAAAGCATGGAGGAGTGCCAGGAGAACCATTTCGTGGGCGACGATTGCGTTCACGAGGAGTGTAGCGGTTTTGAGCAATGATTTTCTCCGTGGTTTCCAATCGAAGAAGAAGATCGGAGTAAGAAGGCTTTGACGAACGATCAGAAAGAGGTTTGTTGCGAATAAATGACACAGTTTTAGGAGTAGCCATTTGAGAAGGGTCAGTTTGTTCCCATGCTTCAATCTATTCACATATGTCAGTGGATGTAACATTGTCACGGTTATGAGTGAGAACAAACTGGCGAGCTTGTTCCTGTGATTGTTGACCAAGACCAGATATAAAGGCATTCTGGATAAATGTGCTTGTCAATATTGTGTTGCCTTAATGGGCAGCGTCGCGTTTTAGACGAGTGCAGCGGTGAGACCAGACACTCATAGATTCATCGTGACCACGTTTGAACTGCTGAAGATATGCAAGAGTAATTGGCTGAGCAATAGCAGCAGATCAGTGGAAGAACAAGGAACGGATAATTTGGTATAGCGTCCCTGGATCAGACATGAGTTAACCGGTTTCAAGGGATTGACGAAGTTCAGTTGTCATAGAGTTGAATAGAATTTGACGAGTAGCATGATAGGATCCGTCTTCCTTGCTGGTGGTCCGAAAGTTAGTTGTTCAAAAATAAGGGGTTGGAGGGATATAGACAATGGGAGTTTGACCACGAGCAGCGACGGGTTGGCCATCTTGAATAAATTGAAGAACATGTAGAGCGTCTTTGGTGCCAGCGGAAGTAGCGACTGTAAGTTTCGGTCGATCAAGGCGATATTAACGCCTTAGAGTAAATAAACGCTTAGGATAAGGCGAAGTATAATAAAATTTAAAAGTAAATAAACGAAATGAGTCTTTTAGTAAAGTTAGGTATGCCTTGTTAAAAAAGCAATACTCTGAGGGATTGCGGGGCTGAGACATTGCTTATATATAATCCTTTCAGTACTGTTTTCGCCGAAGGGATTTTATTTGGTGTTTCGTTGTCGCTCTATTAGAAACTATGGTATGTTTCGTTAAGGCGAATCCTAGAGACTCATAAAATCCTATCTTTAAAAGAAAAAAAAGAAAAGAAAAAAAAGAAAAAAACTCTTGATGTCCATAGTTATTTCACTAACCAATAGCTTGCCACTTATCAAGAATTACCGACTAGCCTTCATCAGACTGGCACATCTGGTTGGCTGAACGGAGAATAAACTTAATAGTCCTTAGAAACCTATGTTCGGTTGAGCCATCTCGCCACCGAAGTATTCAGATATAAATAGATTTGGAATGTAAATATAGTTCTATTAATAGAACTTGACCAAATCATGTATTTGGTGTTTTACTTGGGCATTTTAATGGCCTTGTCCAAATATCTGATATGCAAAATGGAAAAGGTATTCACTTAATAAAACCGGTAAAAACCATTT